TTTAACACAACGTGGTGCGATCATCCCCCTTGCGCGGAGTGAGGGTTCTCGACCCCGCACAACATGATCTACTCGACTACCATCATGGTTACCGCCAAAAAAAAAAACGGAGGAAAAAAAAAAAAAAACGGTAGCGTGGTTGCCGAGTTCACGAAGTGAATTGGCTTGTTTTACAACGTCGTTGCCAAGCGACGAAAACCCAACCTCGATGGCAAAAAGCAGAGTGGGAGGAGGTATTTCTGTAACTTGTGCATCACCACTGACGGTCTATCCCGCACTGTCGTACAGTATGCATGCGCGCTCAAACAACTGTAATTTCGAAGAAACGAGGGGGGCGCGTTCGGCCCGTCTGGTAACTATTATACAACACTGCTAAGAGCTGCGAAAGTAAACACTTTTCACAAGATGTGTTCTCCCTGGCCAAAACAGTCTCCATTCGAACACCGAACGCTTCAATAGTACGTCTTTCGGCGTGTGAACGACACAGAATACACCACTGCGCTTCATACCCCTTCCTCGTGGGTTGTTCCTCTTTCTTTCACCAGCAAGCATGCGTCACTGTTGCTGCTCCTCGCACATGTACTTGGTCTTCCCAAATGGTAACCACACACTGTGCAAGGAGCACGGACACTATCTATAATCCCCAAACCTAAAGTGAATGCACAACCCCTTGTAGTCCTGACTGAAAACCTCCTGCCCAGTGATAGTGGCGTTGCACAACTACTGCTGTGTGGGTGAAGTAAGCCTCACCAGAAGCACTCGGTCCCCTGGGTCGAGCAAGGCTAGAGCGACCATGGCGAACGCCTGATTTCCACCAGAGGTGACCATCACCTGAAAACGGTTGCAAATGTACGAGTACGACAAGAGCAGGGGTGCTCTCTCAGGAACAAGGAAGTCCAGCTCGTTCACTCGTGACCTCGCAAAGCTAACAGAGCGGCCTCTCTGAGAGAAAGAGGACAACACCGCGTTCAAGTAGAGGCTAAAAGGCTCCCACACCAACAGGCGCGCCAAGAAACCCCGTGAGTCTCGCCCGCGGTTTTACTCGTACCCCTTGGGGCTGAGGGCTCACGCTCATACACGAGCTCACGGTTGAGACTAGGGTTGAGACTAGGGTTATAAACTATGTTTTGTCCGTCAGCGAAGGGCGCGCGAAGCCTAGGTCGCATGAAAGGGAAAAGAGGAATCAGAGCCACGCAGATCATGATGTGTACGGTCCTCGCATCCGTATGCATCGTGCAGGTCAATGGCAGCTCCACTTCAGCCAGGGAGACGTCAACGGCACTGCCCAGTTTGAGGTCCCTGCTCTACTCGGTAACTCGGCAGTATGCAACTCAAACGCGACCTGTTAGGTGTCTCGACCGTCACCTCTTGTCCCGTCATATCGAGGCCGTTCTCCCCTTCCAGCTTGGCTACGAGCGCTTCACGCAGCGCCGGGAGGCCCAGCGCAGGCCCATACTTATGGTTGGTTGGCTCGCGCAGCCCTGACTCCATCTGCCACAGCGCTGCCGGGGGTGGATCCCAGTGGCAAACGCCCTGAGCAAGGTTTACAGGCGGTGGGTTCATCCCGGCGTACCTGGAGAGAACGACTTCTATATGCGCTGGTTCGGTATGGAGGGTTACTCGCCTCGAAAGCTGCGGTCTGGGCGCATGTTGTTGTGCTGAGGCCGGCTCCCCCGTTGTGGTTGTGCTGGACATTATTTCAAAGGTAGGGTCCTGGTGCTGCTGTGGCACACTTTTTCCCGCTCCGGTTATGGTTGCTGGCGATGAGGGTGACGACGCGAGGCAGAGCAGGACGCGGGTCCACAGCAGCACTAGCACCTGCTGCAAGTGCAGTTGGCGCATGTATCACGAAAAATATGAGTTGCTGATTGAGGGAACACAGCGCGAGGAGTTCAAGGAACTCCTCCGTGGAAGGGTAGCCGGCAGATAATAGACTCTGGCTGCAGAGAGGGAAGCGCGGCTGGGATTCGGAGACGGGAGGCGGGAGACGGAAGACAACGACGACCGCCTGGAGACGGCAAGACGGCAGGCAAGCACGCGAATGAAATGGTTCAGAACCATTTTTGGAACCTATTCGGCACGTCGCCGTTCTGCCGCTCCTCCCAGCGGCATGACGCTTTCCCTGGTTGTCTCCTCCAGTGCCCTCTGCAGCAACCTAGTGCCCTGTTTGTGTGGTATTGGATCTCACAGCTTATCCCTTAGACGTGAGCACCATCCTGCTGAGCAGGCTCTGTAGAGAAGCTTGAGAAGCAGGCCTCCTGCAAACCTCCGCATCAGGGCAGCTTGCCCAACCCTCTCCAAACGCTGCCGCCGCTGCTGCGGCCATGGAGGAGTCGGAGGCGGCGCAGGAGATTGAGGCCCTTCGAGCGATTTGGCCGGAACTCCTTGACCGGCCTCCCGTTTGGAATTGTCCAGCGATCGCGATACCTGTTTGCCCCTTGGGTGAGCGCGCTATGTAGCATCGTCGGGCACAAACGTGCATGCCAAGCAGCTCATGCCAAGGTTTGCGCAGTCGCTTTTCGCGAGGTAACGTTCTGCTGCCGTGCTGGTGCCTTTTGGTGTGGTTTCAGGAAGAGACCCTCTTCCTATTCGAAATAGACATCAGCATTGCATGATAACATACGGAGTATTGGTGCACTTCTGACCCTCTGCGGAACACCTGATGTGAACGGAATGTTTCTTGCCAATTTGCGGCCATCTTCACTTGTAGACTGCACGAGGGTGTGCTGTTGCTGCATGCTCGCAGTCTACTCGCTCGATTCGGAACAATATTCGTCCTGAATGCTCCCCCCGATACAATTTTTTTCTTGTTTCAAGCCCGAGTGATGTGGCCTACCGTAGGCCAATAGAGTACACTCTTGCGAAGACGCCCCGCGACAGTTCTCGCCAGCGGGAAAAAGTATGTGTAATACATTGGTACATAACAAGCTCCCACCGCCGAATACCCCGTCGCCCCTCCCTTCAGATTCACTCGGAGAATGCCGGAGGTAACCTTGCTGATACCCAAGGCCGAAACGCAGTTGTCCCTGGGCGATTCAGCTCTCTCGAATGTAGCCTTGCCTATGATTGTGCCGCTTCCCCGTGTGGTGCTACCTTGAGCAACTTCGGGTCCACGCACATCCTCTTCCGGAGAGGTCGCTCGCTCACCCGCAACGCTTCAAATGTTCACCGCTGTTGGTGTCCCTCGGTAGCCGTTCATTCCAACGCGATTTTTTCTCATTTCGTGGTTCAAAACGTCGTGGTGTGATACCATTTCCTCTGTGGCGACAGGTACGGTCGTTGAACAGACGAGCGTGTTTGGCGGGATGGCAACACCCCTAGATGGTCCACACACTGGTCGCTGTTTTCCAACTATGAGCCGTACAGACACCTGTTGCTGCCCGTAGGTTTGTATCATGTACGCGCGTATACCGACATACACGCAGGCTTTCAGACAAATAGGCCGAAACTAAAGCAATAATCTTGCATGCATGCCCCTTCGATGGAACTTCTTCGTTCTTTCTTGCTGTACCAGTAGAGCCGGTGTTGTCGGCTGCCAATACTGATGCCCTTGATCCAGGCTGCCGAAGAATCCACCTTTTGATTACTGCTTCCCCAGCAATGATGCCAATACTATCATCAACTCTTCGGGCAGCAGGCGTGATACAGTGTCCAGCTGGTGACGTGTGCATCTTACCCCGAACCAGGTTCGCTGGACGCCAAACGGCCTACCCGTATCACGGTCGTGGTCATCTTTAACCCCAGGTGGGTGGCCGCGACGATTGCCGCTCTAGTTTGGCGTTCGACCAAACAATGGTGCTCCCAAAACAATTATCGTGTTGGCTCAGTCTCCGGGTTTAGCGATGGGACGTATTCTCCTTTTCTAGAAGTCTTACATCCCTCGCTGTAGTGGTTCTGAGGGTGATTTTTGACCCATATTTGGTATTTGTTTTGGGAGTGACCGACGTATGGAACACGTCACACAAAGGGCAGAAGCTGTTACTCTCGTGAGGAAACCCCGTCTGAGCTCACCAACACCAAGTGTAAGAAAACTCTCTGCGGGACGTGCTTCGATTGCTTGCTTCGACCTCAGGTACCCGAAAGTGCCGCCGCGTCTGGAGCTGGAGTCGCCAAGCCAACTCGACGAGGATGAGGTGTGTCCGTGGGGTTGAGGGAGGATGAGAAACAAGGGGAGGGGGATAGCAAGGTAGACGCGCCATAAGGCAGAGGTAGGCAAAGCCCCAAGCTATGGAGCTGGAGCAGAATAGTAGGGACCACCTCAAGGAGCGCGAAAATCTGCCTCTGTGTGCAAACCTGTCTCGCTGTTGTGTAAGAGCTGCAGCACGACGCTGTCTTGGCCCCCTGTTTCTCGCTATTGAGAACGTCATGCGCTTCTAACCCTCGCCCTGTTCGCTAGTCATGATCAAAGCATGAACGGACAAGGACTACACACATTCCTTCGGCAACATCATCATCATCAACAACAACAACAACAAAAACAACAACAACAACAACGACGACGACTAGGTGGCGAGGCTGAAGCACATGCTTGACGTGAAGGCGGCGGTAATAGCCGGAACGGGCATGGTGATGGTCCACGACCTCCTGGTCTTAACGAACGACTTTCTCTCAGACAAGAACCGAGCGGATGAAGAAAGGAGCAGGGGGGGAGACGAGAGCTTGTTCCAGAAGATGATCACGGAGGAACAGCGCCAGAGAGACAAGAGGGTGAGCATGTCGGAAAGCGAGACCCATACGCGGCAGGAGGGGATTACCGGAGCCCCCGCAGAGTCATGAGAATGAAAATGGCAGACCCCACAGACAGAGATAGGGAAATAGAGAAGGCAGCAGTACCGTGCTGGTGGTGGTTGGTTCAACGTTTGGAATGTGTGGGCAGTATGTGTGAAGAGCCGAATAAGAGGCCACTCCAATGGATGATAAGAGTGGGCTGACACAAACGTTTGGTCAATCGGGAAGAATATCTCTTCAGGACACGCTACTGATGATGAGCTTACAATTTGGCGTGTACTCGACAAAGCGGAACAGCGGTGAGGGCGGAAAATATTGTTCGCAATAGGAGAAAGGCGACGAAACAATAAGTTTCAAAAATGACCAACCAATCGCATCCCTCGTCAATGACACCTACTGCTGGGGGCTGCACATTCGTGCACAAGCTCTCACAACCCTTTGAAACGGCACGTTTTGCCGTTAGTAGAGAAGAGGATGGAGGAGGGTTCAGTCTCAATCGACCACCGGGTTATGACGCCACCCCATCGATTTATCCTGAACGTCGGTTCAAGACACGTTGTGGTGTGTTTCGACGTGCTGTACCTCCCGAAGTTTACACACAAGATGAAGGCCATGCAGATTTTTTTTTTTCTCGTGTTCCGCCCTTCGCCTTGCTTCTGCGGAGGGAAATTTGTAAACGTTCGCAACGCACACAACGCCAACTCATACATGTATTTTGCCGCAAACATTGGAGTCATGTATGGGTGCGTTCCTTGTATTCTCGACGTCAGTCTTTCACTTATCGGAACACTTTCGGGACACATCAGCCGGTGCCACACAGATGGAAAGCCAGCCACACAAGAGCTCCCCTTGTTTTTCTCACCAAGCTATGGAATAGTACCACATGAACCGCGAATCGATAATTATTTGCCGCGGACCAGGAGGAGGAGGAGCGGGCGGAAGAGAAACGTCAGCGGGACGAGGAGGCCAAGGAGTTGCTCGAGGAAGAGGCCAAGGGCGAAGCGCACTGGGTGGTGGTCCGGGAAAAACTGGAGCAGGAAAGGGAGGTGCGTGTGCGCCTTGTTGATCCTGATACATTGTGTTGTGTACCAGTGGTAGATATGGGTGTGGCGCGCTACTCGGTTCATTTAGTTGTTGGTGCTGCTTGCGCCAAGGATTTCGCGCTTGCTGTGTCTGGGTTCTTCAGCGACTGCTTTCCGTTGAAAAAATTGTTTTCTTGAGGGTCGATTCAACATTGATCCCCATCGTGCTTGATGTGGAGCAGCTTGCAGACTTTTCGTGGGCGATATCCAAGGGCGCACACACACGCGCCCCGGTACCCCCCCACCCACCCACCCGGGAGGATCGATGCCAGCATGGGTTTCGACACAGCCACTTCAGCCTTTTTCTGGTATATTTTTTCCGCACCACGGCGCCATGTCACAGACGCTCCACGCTCTCTGAGTTTGCCATCGTGTTCCTTCGGGTAAATTTCACTCGGCCACCCGCACGTACTTCCACATTTTCAGAGAGCCGCCAGCGCAGGGTTTCTAGGGGTGATGGAAGGCGTCATCCCCGAGTCGTCTGCCGGCGGCGAGTATGAACACGATAACGGGGAGGAGGGGACACAAGATCAAGGGGCTGGAGCAGCTGGAGAACAAGGAGGTACGCACACGTCAGGCCTGTCGCCAGTATGCTCTTTATATTTGTTTATTTTGTGCTTGGGTTGTTGAGACGTGGGTTGCGTCAGCGCACGTTCCGGCAAGTACTGGGTTTTTAATGTTCGACGAGAGTAAAAGAAAACGAGAAGAAGGTAGTAGGGTTTTGCAACTCCTTTTTTGACGTGGAAGGGGGCGTGTTGACGCACAGGCCGAGGGGCATCCGGATCACAATGGCAGAGTACATGAGAACGCTACGCATGTCTTGAAAAGCTCTAGTATCTAGGACCAAATGGGCTCTGAGTGCGTTCAAATTCTGTTCAACACGTGGGAAGCGTTATCGCTTAATGGGGTGTGCGTTGAATTTTTTTTCAAGTGCGCTTTGCTGGATGTGAAAAAAGAAACTTGCTTTGGAGTCAAACGGGAAACCTTAATTGATATTTCGTGTTTTTTCATTTTCATTCTCGGGGTTTGTCGAACCGTCTTGGCGGTTTGCACGTTCCAGGAAGGTACCGAAAAAAGGCAGATCCGAGGATTTTGTAAATGAAAGTGGACATTTGATGCATGAGGGAAGTCTCAAGGCACGAAAGTAAGCATGAGCAGCAGCAGCAGCAGCAGCAGCAGCAGCAGCAGCAGTACCCTGTGTTTTGCAATCCAACAACGCACGGAGTATGAAAGTCCAACACGGCGGCTTCTACCCTGAAAAACTGCTGCAGGAACCAGAGGACAAGACTGCATGACAGAACATCACGCAGCAGAGCCCGGCCAATTCCCATTTATTGCTAATATTTTGACGTGACGATATCGACTGCGGCTTCTCGCCCCAGTACACGGAAACCTTAACTTGTAGGGTGAAGAAAAATGGAGCGCTGACGTCGCCCAAACACACTGTTCTGTTTATGTTACCAACCACACCCTCACTGCTGTGCACCAGCGTGATGTACGGTTGTGTGCATAGGGCTGCTGGTTTCGTGTGCGCACTACATTTCGACTATCGGGGTGGGGGGGTACGGTTGACCTGGCTACTGCGAGGGTGGGTAAATAAGGCTAACGAGCCCATTCTTTATCCTTCATCTTGCAATTTATGTGCTCGAGCTAGGGCTCTTGGCCTCCCAGCCAAGACGGCAGTGATTTCCGGGGCGGACCCTGGAATAGTCTTAACAGTGCCTCATAGTTTCGTAGTTGGGAATCAAACCCGTGTTCACATATGTTGTCTGTGAAAGACTATTCTACTCGAACTATGGATCACTTCGTCGCAAATCTTTGCGCCCGTCGGGCGCTTCTGCTGGAGTCTTCCCCAAGATTAAGACACATGAAGATGACCTTCATCTCATGGTCATCTGTATCCCGTGGGTAGAGGATTTCTATTCATCCTGCAGTACTTCGTATTCAGGCACATGCTTAATCCATTGGCTTTCGCATCTCACAGGGAACTTCCATCCCCGCTGACCGGGCCTGGCTATCTCTCTTTGTGTGTGTCTCTCTCTGTCTCTTGTATGTCTCTCTCTTTCTCTCTTTCTCTCTCGTTATCCCTCGTTGTCAATGCGTTTGAGGTCTAGGCCGCGAAGAAGACGACGAAGACTCGAATGCCTCCGACGATAGCTGGATGAACCATCCCCAGCACAACCACAACGGCGCAGACAGGAGGTTTCCCGCCGGCGGAGGCGGCGGAGAAGGGGGGAGTGGGGCCGTCAAGGAGCGGAGTAGCTGGTACCGCTCGCAGTTCAAGGAGCTGGAGAATCTGGGGAAGGGGGGCTTTGGGACGGTCGTGAAAGTAGGTTTTGGATGTTTGTGCCAAGGCGTGTTGTTGTTCGTCCGCGAGCACGGCCGGCTTGGTGATGACCCCAACAGTGCAAAACGGCTGTGCGGTCTTGGGCTGGAAATAGGCAGCAAGATGCGGACATAGGCAGAGCAAGTCCCCCATACCATACGATTGTCATTATTTTTGTTCATATGGGTGTGTGCAGCTCTCCGCGGCGTGGCAGGTATTTCTTACGTTTTATGTGCCCGTGAGCGTGCATTCGCGCGCGTGAAGTGCTTCAAGGGGTCCGTCGATGATACCACCGCTACTTGTGCATAAACAAATTTAAGAAGACAATAATAGCAATAGCAGCAGCAGCAGCAAAAATGCAACATCACCAACGTTCTACACTCGCACAACGCAGGTCCGCAACCGAGTGGATCGTCGTCTTTACGCCGTGAAAAAAGTGGGGCTAGACCCCTTCGACAAGGAGACAAACCGAAAGATTAGGAGGGAGGTCACCACCATCTCTACCCTCGTCCACAAGAACATCGTCCGGTAAGTATTGTTCCCGGTGTCCTCGTTCTTGCCGAACTTATTTTATGATTTGAGGATTGTCTCGGATAGTTTCGTTGATAACCGGTGTGTGATCTCTCGAGTCTCGCGTGGGAATCGTGTACGAGCGCATTTCTTCGATCTCGACTCTACGGTCTCCGCTGATTTGGCCAACATCTTCTTGTCTTGAACCAAAACGAACACGTCGACGTCACTGCTGTTTGTCGGGTCGTTTGGAGTTGTTCTCGGCGTCGCATGTGTGTTGATGGACACGGGGAGAGAAGAAATGACGGCGTTGATTTCACAGGTGTGATCTTCTCTGCAGAGGTTTATCTTTGCTGTCAATTGTAACAACTCCGTGTCCGCGTATGTTTGCGTTCGGGGCTTTTTTTGTTTTTCCCTCTTTGTTTTATATGGTGTACCCCTTGGGGGGTAGTTAGCCTGTGACCACCAATGGAGTCCTCCTCAGCTCGACCATATCGGTTATAAATGGTGCTGAGCGGAGGTCGTAGCGATGTTAACGTGATACACAAACTTGCAAGACAGCTGTAGGCGCGCCGGGCGGTCGACCCCCGACGTGGTTCAGTAGCGCCTGGCTTCGGATGATCACTCATACATACCCGCATTGGTGTCCGCGCAGGTACTACCAGGCGTGGCTCGAAGGGGGCGGGGGGGCATTCCCCGCGGCCGTCGAAGAAGAGCGCAGCGGCGACGAAGATGACGACGACGATGACGAAGACGACGCAGCAGGGGCTGAAGGAGCATCCGCGCTCGCGAAAACCACTGCTGCTGCTGTTACTGCCAAGGGCGAAACCACAGCGGCAGCAGTAGCAGCAACCTGCCACGACGTCCCGGGAGCGACCGATATTGGCCAATCAGAAGAGGACCAGTCCGAGATCGAGGCTGAGCTGGGGTTCTTCCTCACCACGAAGTCGTCGTCGAGTGCCAACAAAAACCGAAACTTGGAACCAAAACCGACTGCTTGCGCCGCCGATTCGGAGCACCGCCTGAGGGATACCGGGACCATGCACACGGGTTTGGAGGGCAACGAGGCTGACGGTAACCATGTCCATTTCGACGATGGCGTTGGCGGCCGCGGTTGCCCAGCAAGGCACAGCATGGCGCTCGGGGAAGGCGATGCTGGCAGCACCATTGCCGTGAGAGGGGAAGACAGTAGTGCCGCCCCGGTGACGACGGCCGTGCTGGGCAAAAAGGCCAAGCGACTGCTGAGGAAGCAGGCCAGGAAGAAGAAGCGCTTGCTAGACGTCGCCGCGGTGACGGCAGCCGCTGTTGGTAGTGGTGATACCGGGGCTGCTGGCGAAGGCTTGGAGGAGACGACTGGCAAGGGGGAATCTGAGCCCCTTCGGATACCTCGCGGGCGTCGAAAGCGTGCTGCTGATGCTGCTGCTGCTGCCGCTACTGCTGCTGCTACGAAGAAAGGTATGGTCCTTAGTGTGTTCAATGCAGGGAAGGGACGGGATGGGACGGGAAGGCATGTCATGGCGGCGCTACAGGCAGGAAGGGGCCGGCACATTGGTCGCCGTGGCACCCACTAGCAAAGCGGCCCTAGCAAAGTCGAATGGTCACAGAATCGAAACCAAGTGCTAGACCGCAATGAAGGTAAACCGTTCGCGGGGTCAAGCTGATGTTACCGTACAGGATATTACCGTTCTGCAATCGCGGTGTCGTGTTTTTTCCCACGAGCAAAGCAACAATTACGCTGGTCATACGAACCCCTCCGTGCATTCTGCACTGCTGTGATGTTCCAGGCATGCGTCTGTTTGTGCTATTTGTTTTCGATATTTTTTCGAATGATAACTTCTCAATATTTTTTTTTGTCTGAACGTCCGCACGTGACCAACAGAAGAACCAACGCAAGCGGTATTGGCGCCACCGACAGCGCCAGCCACGGCAGAGGCCCCGTGGGCCCAAAAACGCGGCGTAGCTAACCACCAGGGAAGTTTCGGTTCGATGGCGTCTTCGTCCTCGTCTTCCGGTGACAGCGAAACCGTCGATACCGATAACGAAGCCGCCGCCGATGGATGCGAAACCATTCGCACTTGCGACGATGATAGCAACGACGACGACGACGATGATTGGTCAGACCAAGAAGAAAGCAATGATCAGGGGAACACCCGAAGCGAGGAGGGATCGTGGGGGTCCGGGGGAGGCGACTACCGCCCTCACGGCCAAGGGAAGCTTGTGTCTGACGCCGAGTTTTTTCAGTACTTCGGCTCACCGGAAAGAGCGAGGTGAGTGAGAAAGTCGCTTTGTTTGCCTCTCAAGACAAGCGAGAGAGTACATAGAGCAGGGACGCGGTGGCGGAGAAAGAATACTTTGTAAATGGTTTACATCGTGTTACAGCCCTTTCCATGCTTGTTTTGGTTGTGAATTTTTGTCAATTTATCCAGCACTTTCTTGTCCAATCCAGAGACAAAGAGCAAGGAAGAATGGCAGCTCGTCTTACTGTAGGCGCTGTGTGACGAGCAAGGCCAAGTTCCCAGCCCCCTATCAGAGAGGCGAACCGCGCCCCCCCCGAGAATTGAAACGGGAAATCACGAAGTGAAAGACGCCGCAGCACCATCATCCTTGTCTGCCCGCAACAACAACAACAACAACAACAACAACAACAACAACAACAACAACAACAACATGAACAACGACTTGATAGTCAAAGAAGTGCCTGCACCCAATTCCTCCAGCACATACACGTGCTCGCCAATTTTAGACACGCAGGCGAGCGAAACGTCACGGCGACCAGGCAACAACCGGGACGAGTGCCTGCACCCCCCCCCCCCCCCCCCCCCCCCCCCCCCCCCCCCCCCCCCCCCCCCCCCCCCCCCCCCCCCCCCCCCCC